TCTATGGTATATATAGTATATAAGATATAGATATATAATAGTTATATATATATACATATGTTGATACGATATAGATAAGAGCTTTATAAATATATGATTCCCTCTATTCTATCTATAATAGAACCATTATTCTATCACTAGTATATATATATAGTCATATATTGTTATATTCTATATAATTATATTTATTAGTAGATATTCAGATATAGATATATGATATATATATAATATATTATATATATATATTTATCTAGAATATACTATATATTTATATATATTATATATATAAATATAAATATATGAATATATATATATATAATATATATATATAGAAATATATATATTATATATATATATATATGTATTATATATATATATATATTAATATATGTATCTATATTTATATAATATGTATATATATCCATAATATATATATCCATATATAATATATATCCACAGTATATATGTATAGATCTATCTTATATATATATGAGACATAGCTAGCTATACCGTATATATTTTATTATTTTTTTTAGTTTACATTTTTTAACAAGAGATATATTCTATACATATATATATATTTACGATATATATATATGATAATATAATAATATATTGATACTATAGATTATTCTATAACATATATCTATGTGCGTATACTATAGCATTATTATAACATATATATATTAGATATATAGATATGGATATATATATATATTTATATAGATAGAAATATTATCATATATATATATATTTAAGATATATATATACTATAGTCATATATGTATTATAATCAATAAATATATATATATATACATTATATTCATAGATGTACATTATTATATACGCAGACTAGATATAAGATTATTCATATATAGATATAAATATATATTAATGAATATATAATATACTATTATATATATCTAGTATATCATATATAGATATAAATAAATATATCAGATATATATATAATAGCTATATCATATATAGATATATAAATATATATATTATTATATATATAATATATATATAATATATAGTATATATGAATATACTATATATATATCTATATATATTTATATTATGAATATACTATTATTATATATAATATCTATAAATATACATATATGAATATATTATATATAAATATATATCTATCTATATATAACATATATACTATATATATATAATGAATATATATATCGACTATTATATATATGAATTATGATATGAAGATATATGATATATATATATTATATATATATCTTATATAGATTATAATTCATGTATAGTCCATACTATATATATAATATACATTATATTATATTATGTATATATGTATATATGTATATATGTATTATATGTATATAATGCTATATATGTATTGTATATGGGTATATATATATATAATATATATATAATATATATACATATATATAGATGATACATATAGTATAACTAATATAAATATATATATAGTATACAATAACATATACATTATATATCATAGAGCATATATAGTATATATATAGATACAGATATATATATATATAGATATATATCGATACTGTATGTATCATACCTAGTATAGATATATAATATATATATAAGTTATAGATCTATACTATATATATATATGCATATTTACTATAATATATACTTACTATAATATATCTTAATAGTAGATATATTCCCTATATATATATTAATATTTATATATATAATATATAGTATTTATATATTAATACTATTAAATTTATATATATATATATTCTATAGATATATATATTAATATTATATATATATACTATATATATAAGTATATATTATATATTTGATATCAGTATATATATATAATGTATGATAGTCATATAATTATAGATATATAATGATAACGAATATATATAATATATATATATTACTTATATTATATATATATAAAAATATATAAATATATATCTATATCTAGATATATATTATACATATATACATATTATATATATATAATATATAATACATACCTACTATAATATGTATAGATATAGATATATATATTAATGTACTATATAATATATGTATTTTACATAATATAGATTATATATATACATATAGATGTATCATTATACATATAATGTATATATATATATATATATATATTATATTATAATATTATTATAATATATACATATATATATATATACATATATTATATAGATATAGCTATAAATATATATAATAATTTTTATTACTATAATATATATTAATATATAGAATATATAACAAAAATAAAAAAAACAAAAAAAAAAAAAAAAAAAAAAAAAAAAAAAAAAAAAAAAAAAAAAAAAAAAAAAATAAAACAAAAAAAAATAAAAAAAAAAAAGAAAAAAAAATAAAAAAAAAAAAAAAAAAAAAAAAAAAAAAAAAAAAAAAAAAAAAAAAAAAAAAAACAAAAAAAATTATATAATATATAATATATATATAGAATATATATATAATTATATATATAATATATAATATATATAATATATAAATATATGCAGAATATTAATTATATGAGAGATATAGATAGTAGATAATAATGAAGTATTTAGTATAAATATATATAAAATATAAATATGTCGAATATATATATATAATACAGTTTTACCATAGGACGCTATATATAGATAGAGAAGAAATATATAGTTATTTATTCAGACATATAGTTAAGGATATTATATTAGACTAGTATATTATATTGATATGATGGATAGATAGACATATTCATGAGAGAGAGTTATATATATATTATGATAGAGAATTGCGATATATATAATCATAAATATATATATAAAGTAAAATATAAATAAAAAATATAAAGATAAAGATAGATAGTTAACTAAGATAGATAGTGAGATATCCATATCCGGTATACTATATATATATATTATATACCAAATATAATATATTAGAAGATATATATATATACATATACATGTATAATATATATATATTTTATATTACTATATATATATATACAAATATGAGCTAATATATAACCATGGCGCGGTGCAGGAATAGATGCCATACCCACTTTGATACACGTTTATGATTGGATTTACACATAGATCGGATCTACAAGTTTCTTTCTAAATTACAAAATTAGCAGTTATCAAGTACTCCCTATTTCACCTGTTTAGCCTTTTACTTCACTTCGGAAAGGGTTTTATGTATAAATCTTATGTCAAAAATACTTTAATGACACTTCAATCACATAACATCAGTAACATAATAACAGCATCGAAGCCAATGGATATAATATATTATCCGCCAATTTCAAGAATGGGCACAAATCAGGCGTCGGCTAAACTAGGGCCATACTGATAGCTATTGCCGTCTACTGAGTACATCGTGGAAGCCATCTGGTATGTAGCAAAAATTACACAAAACCAAACAGGGGACACGGGGAAAAAACAAAAAAACCCACAATCAAAAAAAAAATCGCGTGGCCCCAGGGTTAAATATTTATATTCTGTAATAGATATTATATATATATATATTATAGATAGATAGTATATATGCTATAGATATATGATATATGATTAATATATATCATAACTATATTACTATATATAACTCACGATAGATATATTACTTATATATTATATGTACTATATAATATATATTATAATATATACATATTATATATATATTATAACTATACATATATATAATAACTATATAATCATGTCATATTATATCATATTGCTAATATATACATTATATATAATATTTATATATAATATAATATGTATATATACATAACATTATGATGCAGATACAAAAATATATATGGTACATTTCATGAAGTTATCACATTATATCATGTAAATGTATAGCATAGGTGATAAACTGTTTCTAGAATGATATATAAAAGAAATCATAGCTGTCTCATATGGGTATGGATATATGTATGATATATATATATATATATATATAATATATATATTACCATATTTATAATAATATATTATATAATTTATATGATATATATATATATACTACATCTATATATAATACACCTATATATACATAAAATATATATACATAATATATACGCCTCTACTACATACTATACGTATACGATACATACTATTATACATACATACATAGGTATTCTACCTACATTATAATATACTTTAATATATATATACATATCACCACATACATACAGACATACATACATTACAATATATATAATATATATAACATAATATATTAGTCTTATATAATAATACATACATCTATACATACAAATATATACGCATATATATACATATAATATATAAACATACATATACTATAGACTTACATATATAGATATATATATATTACAATATATCAATATACCATACTATTATCTATAACATACTTAATATATAATATACCTAAAATAATGTTTAATATTTAGACATATCAATATAGTAATCTATATAATACCTTAAACTTATAATATTTACAGAATAATAACTATATACCTATATAATATATAATATATCCTATATATATACAGCATATTATATATAGATATATATACTATACTATACTATATGTATGTATAATTAATTAGTATATGTATAATTTATACTTATATATGTATAATTTGAATATATATGATAGATAATTAGATAGTAAAATATGTATAATTCTATACTATTTGTTATAAAGTTAACTATATTACTATATGTATATAATATGTATATATACGAAACATATATATAAATTCTATATGTATATATTATATGCTATATATATATATATATATATATATAATATATATACATATATGCATGTATGTTCATGTATATGTATGTATACATGTACACATATGGTTGTGTAAATATATTTGTACATATGAATAAATATATATATATATTTTTTGTCATCAGAATTATTATTCCCAGCTTTTCCATCGCCAATATTAAAGAAGTCAACTAACATGAAATCTCAACCTCAACGCCTCATGCAGTTTCAACATTGTTTAACTTATCCATTATCCTCGCGATCAATTTTCCAGAGAAACGAAAACGAGAGGAACTCGTCGCTCCTTCGGCCTCCCGGTCGGAGTGCCACCGAGGCCGAGGCCCTTCGAGCAGATGGCGTCCGAGGGCGACGTTGTCCGTCGGCCGAGGGCGGGGCTGTCCTTCGGCTGCTCTGCCGGAGGATCGGGGATTCTCATGGCGGTTCTGCGGCCGAAGTGCGCGCGCGCGCTGGGTGAGCGCAGGGAGCGAGGGGAGCCCGCTGGCTGGAGGAGGACCTGGAGGACCTAGAGGAGGACCTAGAGGAGGACCTAGAGGAGGACCTAGAGGACCTAGAGGAGGACCTGGAGGAGGATCTGGAGGAGGATCTGGAGGCGGACCTGGAGGATCTGGAGGCGGATCTGGAGGACCCAGAGGAGGATCTGGAGGCGGACCTGGAGGAGGATCTGAAGGCGGACCTGGAGGAGGACCTGGAGGAGGATCTGGAGGACCCGGAGGAGGACCTAGAGGAGAACCTGGAGGAGGATCTGGAGACGGACCTGGAGGAGGACCTGGAGGAGGATCTAGAGGCGGATCTGGAGGACCCGGAGGAGGATCTGGAGGAGGACCCGGAGGAGGACCCGGAGGAGGACCTGGAGGAGGATCTGGAGGCGGATCTGGAGGAGAACCTGGAGGAGGATCTGGAGGAGCACCTGGAGGAGGATCTGGAGGCGGATCTGGAGGAACCGGAGAAGGATCTGAAGGCGGACCTGGAGGAGGATCTGGAGGTGAACCTGGAGGAGGATCTGGAGAACCTGGAGGAGGATTTGGAGGAGGACCTGGAGGAGGATCTGGAGGCGGATCTGGAGGACCCGGAGGAGGATCTGAAGGCGGACCTGGAGGCGGATGTGGAGGACCTGGAGATGGATGTGGAGGAGGACCTGGAGGAGGATTTGGAGGACCTAGAGGAGGACCTGGAGGAGGATCTGGAGGACCCGGAGGAGGATCTGGAGGAGGATGTGGAGGACCTGGAGGCGGATCTGGAGGAGGATGTGGAGGACCTGGAGGCGGATCTGGAGGAGGACCTGGAGGAGGATTTGGAGGACCTGGAGCCGGATCTGGAGGAGGATCTGGAGGACCTGGAGCCGGATCTGGAGGAGGATCTGGAGGACCTGGAGGAAGACCTGGAGGAGGATCTAGAGGAGCTGGAGGAGGACCATGAGGAGGAGCTGGAGGAGGAGCTGGAGGAGGATCTGGAGGCGGATCACGAGAACCTGGAAGCGGACCTGGAGAAGGATCTGGAGGAGGATCTGGAGGCGGACCTGGAGGATTTGGAGGACCTGGAGGAGGATCTGGAGACGGACCTGGAGGAGGATCTGGAGACGGACCTGGAGGAGGATCTAGAGACGGACCTGGAGGAGGATCTGAAGGCGGACCTGGAGGAGGACCTGGAGGAGGATCTGGAGGAGGATGTGGAGGACCTGGAGGAGGATGTGGAGGACCTGGAAGAGGATCTGGAGGAGGACCTGGAGGATTTGGAGGACCTGGAGAGGGCTCTGGAGACGGACCTGGAGGAGACCCTGGAGGAGCATATGGAGGAGGATCTGGAGGCGGACCTGGAGGAGGATCTGAAGGCGGACCTGGAGGAGGACCTGGAGGAGGATCTGGAGGAGGATGTGGAGGACCTGGAGGATCTGGAGGACCTGGAAGAGGACCTGGAGGAGGATTTGGAGGACCCGGAGGAGGACCATGAGGAGGACCTGGAGGAGGACCATGAGTAGGACCTGGAGGCGGACCTGGAGGCGGATCATGAGGACCTGGAGGACCTGGAGGAGGATCTGGAGGCGGACCT